ACACACACACACACGCACGCACGCACACACACGCGCACACACACACACACACACACACGCACGCACGCACACACACGCACACACACGCACACACACACACACACACACACACACACACACACACAGAGACACACACACATTCATCCACTCACTCACACACATATCTACACACTCACACGCACATCCCTCCCCCCTTCACACACGCTCCTTGAATGTACATATATTAAAACACTAGTTCGTGCATAATTTCTATTTATGAACACTTACATCTCCATCATTCAATCGATCTCCGATCGTCTGGTAAATCATACCCGCTCTGTGGGATTCTCTCGAGGATTTATCATGATACACCGTCGTATAGAGCGGCTTTTCGTATTTCTCTAGTGCGAGAATGCACCTGCGATCCGTTAGTTACGATCTTTCGAAAAGATATAATCTTTTCCAATATATGTCTCTCCATTATTTGTATAAGATTATATTTATTTTGATTTCACTTGTCTCGTGTTCATCTGTATCTTTGTATTTCGTACTGTATATCTCTTTGTATTTCTTATACGTATTTATACGCAGAAGACTCTACGTTCGTCTTATATTAATCAGCTTTGACATCGTGAATTTTATTTCGAGCGGAAGCTATCGATATTAAGCCTATTTAGAAGAATTTCAATTTAGTCTTTATTGAGATTCCGCGGTCTGGAAAATCTCGATGGTTCGCGATAGTAAAGATACGCGATCGGCTAGATACGAGACGGTCAGTCTCACGCTGACATTAGCTGACGTGTCGCTGCGCGTGGTCTTAGCGCGAAACATTACCGTGCCTCCTGACTTCTGACATTTGTCTATAATATCTTTTTTTTTACAAGGGAGTATCTAACATAATCAATTGACTTCCTTCAATTTTAATAAGTTTTGAATATGTTAAAATTTAGCCCTCAAGAGGATCCTAATTCTGTTTTATCGATGAAATCATGTAATTTTTGTATAATAAATACAAATACAAATACTTTTCTCCTCTAGCTTTCATCAATTCGAAAATTCTTTTTCAGGATTAAAATACACGCATTAATACGTGTCTGGGAAGTGGAGTATAAAGTGGAGCCGAAAACGATCAAAAATTTCAAAATTGATATATTTTTTACCATTTCTTAGTATAATGACATGGTGTCTCAGCTGTCAAGTCGAGACAACATTTGCTTGATATGCGACCAGTACATACATACGAAATTGTGATTCCATGTAGTTTACACGAACAAAAAAGTTTGAATTCTTAGAATTAGACTTGGACGCTTTATCGCGACGAATTTGTTATACGAAAATTGATACGAACATGCGACTGCATGTCATAAGTTACGTGAGATATTGATGTGATAGTATATAAAGACATGTGCGGCGCGACCTCTGGTGACTTCGTCGGAATTCGAGCTTCGCTTTAAGATCCTCTTAAAGGGATGCTAAATCGATTATCTCGAACTTGATCGAGGTCGATAGATACAGATTTTTTTAAATTCCAAATTTGATTATAGTGGCGACATCTTTGATTCATTTCTTACATTATATTATACAATATATATCGTTCTGTCTTACTCAAAACGCCATACATTCGTTCTTATCTAACATATGTCAACACCATTTGTCCATCTATCGCAAGACCGCG